TTATGCTGCTTATTCAAAAAATGAACATGTTCTGCTATTTATAACAAAGCTAAGAGCAGAGGGGTCATTTTCAGAAGGATCTGAGCATCTGTCAGCAGTCACCAAGGGTTCCTCTGATATTTGACTTGTTTCATATTAAAGCTTCTGCCTTTTGTTTGTTTCCTGTCAACAGCCCTTTTGTTCCTTGCACTTACATCTGCAACTCTCAGAGAATCCATACACTTCAGGAAGCATTTCCAGCAAGCAGACAGCTCCCGGGCTGCTGGTGGCAACAGGTAAGAACATAAACAGTGCTTCTTACCACTCACCCAGGCTGCACTGGGAGCTTGAAAGTGTAGATGAGATGTTCTTCATCTGCTGATTTACATTAGCTCCCATTTGCCATTGTTTGTGAGAAGCAATGTGACCCATTTTTAGAATAAGATGATACCTGTCTGTTATTTGTTACACTGCAATAACTTGTATGCGAGTCTAAGTCCACAGCTGCATAGGAATGTTAGTGTCTGGGATTATTAAATCCTCTTATGGGCATCATCTTAAGCGCTCACGTAAGTCTACCCATTTGCTACAGTTGCCATCAATAAGAAGTGGACTTGCAACCATGGGTGCCCTTCCAGAAAGTGTCAGTACTTCTGAGGATTAAGCAGGGAGTTGTCACAAATGCCTTCTGGTCAAGCGGAGTCTTTATGAATTCTTGTCTTGTGCATGGCACCTTCTTTCTACACCGTGTTGCTCCAAGGCTGGCAATACTTCCTCAGCATTATGTGGGTCACTGTTGCTGTGAGTTATTCTGTGAAATGGTGTTTTGGCAGGTTGAGATGTTTTAATGACAGCCTGCTACAGTGCTGCATGGTGGCAGTGGCTGACCCACTGTAATTAATCTGACAAGCATCACAGGCCCTTTTTGTTCCCTTTTGCTTGCTTATAGCATGTAGCCTAATGGGGATGGACAGAGCTACCCAGCTACACTCAGAGCTCCCACAGTGCTTAGGACCATGGATTTGCTGGGATAATAAAGTGTTTACTGAATGGTTGGTGCTGTGGAAAGCTGGCATTTAGAGTACGTTTGCTGCCCTGCTTTTTCATAGGGAGGCTCTTGCATTAGTGCACTCTGCAGAGGGACACGTACATCACTCGAGTCTTACTTGTCTGTGTAGTAGAGTTAGGACTTACTGAGATAACTGAATAAAAGCCCAAAGTGTGTTACAAAATATGTTCAAGAGTTTGAGTGTTCTTTCCAAGACTTAGTTTGTCTCTAATTCTCTCTGGCTGGTTTTCTTCTTTGTCCTGTTCACTCTAGCAGTGGCTTGCACTTGTATCATGCTGTCATGTTGCCTGTATAAATATAGGCTGTTTCTTCCAGCCATTTCCATTCTTATGTTTCTCTGTGCTTGCAGTATGCTTGCTAGAGTAAACCAGAATCTGAGAAACAGGTTCCTGTCATTTATAGCTGACCAGGGAAAAAGTGTGATTTCCAGTTTGCTAATCAAGGCCAAACAAGATGAGATGCTTTGGTTTAAACCTCCAGATCTTCTCATGCCTAGCCAAGTGGAGTCAACACTCCTGACAGGTTACACTTGCCAGATAGATGCATTGGAGCAAGCCAAGCTCATGATGTTGTGATTGTCAGAGACATTTGTTCTTTAACCTTTAGAATCTAACCATTTTATTTCCTTTCTTTGCCACAATTGTGAATCCCTGGTTGTAAAACTGGTCGTCATTTCAATATATAGAGAACAGTGGCACACAATGCATCTTCACTTAAGTCAACATTTAATTCTTTAGGACTTCCATACATGATACAAGCTAGACAGACCTTTGGACTGACACAGCAGATCCATTCTCATGAACCTGTAGGGCCTGAATGTTCCTGTAGGCTGCTGTTTTATAAAATTACCCACTGCAGGATTTTCTTATACATTCATCTAAAGCAGCGAGTCACTCTTAATTGGTATCAAGGGAAGATTAGATAGCTGGTCTGTGTGATGTATCCTTTATCCTGAGCACTGATGGAAAAGCCTTTTCTGAATTGTCCTGCAATCCTGACCTAGAGGTTTTATTTTAGAAACTGTTGTCACAACAGCGTGACTAGTCGGATTCCATGATGCTGACAGGAATGCATCAACCTGTATCTGCGTTTTAATTTCCCATTTTCCAGCATTAAATGTCAGAAATCAACTAACATTCTCATTAGTGTGTTTCTGTTGTGCTCCTGCTGATGCTACAGATGTGTAAGACTGAATTCTCCCAGTCTTTGCAATTTTTAAAGAAGAAATAGTACTTCTCTCTTCCACAGAAATTACACCTGCTTTGAAAACAATCTCACTTAGAAGGTATGAGAATGGCAAGCTGCTGACCTCAGTGCAGTGCTGGGAATGAGCTAAAAGTTCTATTCAGAGTATATACGACTTTCACTTAACTTGACCTCACTATTGCAACTGTTGTTCCAAGGAATGGCAATTTAATCCAAGTTTGGTAATTTACTCTGCATAATGCCAGGAACTGAGTCTCTCTCAGCCATCTGAGAAAAGGGATTCTGGGGATGGGAACCCCTAATTTCAAGTTCTGAGGTGGTGTCCCCAAGTAGTATCGTACTGTGCTCTCTATACGTGCAGTAGAGGTTGATGTCAGATCTTTCTTGAGTGCTGCTCGTTCTCTAAGATGTGATGAATGCAGAGTTGCTGACACTACAGGACCATCAACAGAACAGTCTCCATCAGAATGGAAATGACAAGATTAAAGTTAAGAACCCTACAGAGTAAGCTAGTAAGCTTGGACTCCAGTTTGGGCTAACTTCAGGTCAAGGAAAACAATCAACAGTGTTTAAAATGCAGCTCAGCCTGGTCTCTGTCTCTCTGCTGTGAAGTCATTTGGTGCAGCTTAATTCTCTGCGCTCTTTTGCCTCCAGGTGAGACACCTAAACAAACAAGGTTCCTTTTAACAGGAGCTTGTATTTAATTACATTACAATTCTCATTAATAGGTCTTCACTGCAAACCATTCATAGTCTTGGGAAGAAACATATTTTGATTGACTGCAGGTTCTGAGATCAGTTATATTTTACACTGAATATTTTGACAGAATCCTGAGTTGACTTCCTAGCCCCATCAAAATCAGGGGCTTCCGTGGGGCTAGGATTTCACCTTTAAATTCAGCTGAAGTGAAAGCAGTATGAATAACCGATGTGGATCAGATCAGCTTTCCTACAGGTGTTCTCCTCTCTGCTGGAGAAGTAAGCTGATAATACCATTTTTCCTCTGGTGTTAGTTTTCAAACTGATACTAGTTTCACATTTGCACAGGTCTTGTAAATGGTGTTCAAGAGCTTTCAGATCAGAATAAAATTAAGAACAGCAAAGTAGTGCTGGCCAAGTCAAGTACTTTTGGTGTCCTGAAAAGATGTAGTTCTGTGTCCTTCCACACGGTAATTTCTGATACTTCCTTGTGTTGCAGGCAACATTGGTTCTGAGCTTTCCTACACTGACATTGGTGTATTCATCTCTTCTGATGGTGGAAATTCCTGGAGACAGGTATGTTTTGCAGAGGGAAGGAAAGCACGGAACCTTTTGCTAGTCATCTTCTGAGTCTTCCGTTTCCACTGGTGTGGAGCACTCATGCAGTCCCTGCTTGGTTTGCAGATCTTCGAGGAGGAATACAACGTGTGGTTTCTGGACTGGGGAGGGGCACTCGTGGCCATGAAACACACGTCGATGCCTGTTCGGCACTTGTGGTAAGGTGACTCGTTACTTTGAGAAGTTTTCTGATGTGGTAAGTTGGCAGTGGTGATGACATCTCTTGCATCTCCTGCTAGCCTCTTCTTGTTTCTACAAAATGAGCAAATGAAATAATTTTTATCTGTCTCCTACCAGCTTTTTTTTTTTTTTTTAAATTATTTAAAGATAAATTCACATATCAAAATGATTTTATAATAAAACGTGTATTATTAATTATGATTATAGTTGACACAGGATTATAATTAACATATTACAATTGTTTGTATAAATATACATTGATTGCATTTATTGTATAAATATAATGGCGATATATGTATTCACACACCTTTATGAATTGCTCTTTGCTCTAATAATGTACTAGGAGACCTCAGGCAAATTTTGTTTCTGCTAACAGATATATATACATACCCAATAAGAAGTAACCCTTTGTGCTCCAGGTATTTCTGTGAGGATGTGTCACCTTGTTTTTGCCTTTTCATTTGCACGGTTTAGAAAGAGAAAGGGAGAGGCAGTATGTGTTGATAAGAACAGTAGAGATGATTGCTCGGGTCACTGCTTCCTGTAGGGTTTCCACACACCATAGTGTTAGCTAAATATGGTTGGGAGGTGCATGGGGACAAGGTGGTTTCTCATTTGAAGATACTGTTTTCATTACATGTATGCTAGAACCATCTAAGCACTGAAGATATGGCTCAAAGTTATCCTCCCTTTTCCTCTTAGCCTTTACCTGTCTCACTCCTGCCCCAGCTAAACCTTGGAGAGAGGCATTCTGAAATTCTGTGCTAGCCTTGCTGTTTAAAGAAATTCTATGTGTTAGCATCACCTTCAGTTTCTGGTCTTGATTGAAAAAGGGACAGGCTAATGAACTGACCTGCCCAGCTTCTAATGCTGTTCAGAAGTGAATTAAATAGAAGCAGTCTTCAGAGCTGAGCTTTGTATTCCTTTCTGCAAAGTGAATTCTCTCTCATCTGGATGGTGCTAAGCACATGTCTATCTCATGCAGTTCATGCAGAAGAGGAAATGTGGCCTTCAGTCAAATAGAGAAAGGAGAACAATGGTGTTTGGCAGCAGTGATGAGGTGTTAAGGTGTCTTCTACCCGAGTCATTATTGTACATACTCCTTCAGTTCAATTAAAGTTGTTCAGAAGCTGGGGACCACCTTACTGAGGCTAAGTCCTTATCTGTCACAACCTAATGTTCCACAGATGTACCTTATGATCATAAATGGTCAAAGTCCTTAACAAAAATCAAAGTCCTTAACAAAACCAAATATAAGCCAATGGAGGAGAGGTGTCTGTTCGCCCGGTATAGAAGTCCCCGCCAGTAGTTGATGCTCCAGGCTGTTGCCAGCTGGGCTCTGGAAGAATGAAAGAGCCATCAGCTAAGTTTTAACTATTTTCGAGAATATCCTTCATACAGGTGCGACCGTCCCAGTTAATTTAGTCTTTCCTTGTGGAGGCTCCTTTGACCTACAGAAACACCTACATACAAAAGCCTGTCCTTAGATGTGAGAATTTTGGTAACAGGCAGAATGTCTCCGGGAGCTGAATACACAGCTCTCCTTTGCCTGCTCTGGAAAGATTACTGTCAGATGTTTTCCCTTTCCTCTAAGCTTCGTGAAATGGCATGTGCAATAGTAATATGACTGTCCAGCCCACTGTGTTAAGGGAGAAGTGATTTAGAGCCATTATGGATAAACTCTATCAGGCTTCCTCCAAAGCTGTGCCCTTAGGGGTTTGGGAATTTGCTTCACATTGCCTGAGTAGGCACCTGTTTTATGGACAGGAGCAGGATAGATTAAAGGGTACAGGTATCTCTCTTAGTTCTCAGGCAGAGACATTGTACAATAAATTTCATCCTGGAAAAAAAAAAGAGGGGTGGATAATTGAAAAGCTGAGAAAATTTTAGCTAAACTAATGAAGCATACTGTTCCCCAGAAATTGAAATACTATTTAGATAGATAAGCATGAAGGCAGAACAGCATACTAATGCACAGGTGTATGGGAAGATACATATATTTAAATAAATAGATTTGGGAGAGATAAGCTTTTTGTATGCTATTCCTCCCCCAGCTTTTTGTCTTCGGTGTGTAGTCAGCTTCCTCTCTTGGCAGATGCATACTGGCTGTCAGGTGATACTTCTGCTAGGTGCTACTAGAGGTAGGTATTTAGAGAACAGTGTGTCTCAGCCTTGGATTTCTATATTAGAAACCTTAGGTTAATGTAGCCCATTGTTTATGGTGGATCTTACCCTGGTATCTTTGTCCTTAGGTAACATCTCAGAGCCTCCTAATGCTGCCTAATCTAAGTTGGGAGGATTCAGTTTCTGGCAAGACCCTCTCAGACAAATCCAGCTCCTCAACTTTAGCATCCCTAATTTGCCCTATGCTGTAAGAATGGCTGTGGCCTCTGCTCTCTCTTCCTGTCAGTGAAGTAGAGAACAGTGAGGAGGAAAGGTAGAGGAGGAAAATCTTTTCTTGATAAGTTTTTAATTGTCTTTTCTTGATTTATTGAAGGACTTTTGCAGAGTTACCCTCTCTTAAATACTTTATTGACCTTCCCAAAGTGTCTGTAATGGTTGTCATGTCTTGAGGATGAAGTAGATGATAGTTCTTGAGTGTGCACAGCACAGGGTTGCCAACTTTCACTGGGAAGTAAATACATCAGGAGCGTGAGTATCCTCTGCTCTTCCTAGCCACAAGTTCAGCTTTTCCATTCCTGGTGATAGTGAACTGCAGCTGTTCTTGTGAACAAACTATTCTTTCAAACTCTTGGGATATCGTTCTGCGGAAGCTGAATTAAATAGAGAGAGATTAAGGGAACCCTAGGAAGGATACCCTGACCAAATGAGGATCTCGTCTGGAAATACGTGAGTTTAAAATGTAGAAGTGAATTGCCCTCATTAGAAGCAGAGCTCCAAATGTGATCCTGTCCTTTCATGTGCACACATGCAGATACTACCTCCTGAATTCCGCTAGCCTGGAAAATAAGACAAAGTTTTCTTTTATTCTTATTTTAAAATGACAAATATTTCTCTCTCTTCAGAAGAGAAGTTTGTGCCATATGTGTCCCTTTGGTAATGTCCATCAAGCATATTGTGTCAGCTTTCACAGCCTAGGTACCTCCTAGAATTAGAGAGAACCCTTAAATGACCCTTCTGGGAGAGGATCAGATAATTTCAGAGCCAATAAACTCTTGTACTTCTCTGTTTTTTGTTTCCTGCTGGAACTCGGAGCTGAAAACCTAGGCAGAAATGGTGCTGAATCAGTTGTGTAAAAAACCTAGGGGCAGAGGACACTTTTTTGTAAAATGGAGGCTGCCTCTGAAATGGTAGCTAATGCTATGTAGCACTGGCATGGGGTGAAATGTCCTAAGGCTGTAACGGCATTTTTGTACATTTGAACCAAGACTGCATATGCTCTGAGCACATCCTCATTCCAGGTGCTCTTGTAGATTCAGCGTTAGGACTTGGCAATGTCCCTTGATCCCTTGAGGTCTGATATATCACCAGAACAAGTATATCCGTGTTCTTATTGACATAGTTTATACTCTCAGAGTACTCCAGAACATGAATTAGAGGGCTAGGAAACAGCAAACATTGGTGCTTGTCTATAAATCCAGCTGCTGGAGTTGCCAACCTTAGCCAATAGTTAACTACAGCTGCACTTTATGTGTGCCTTTTTATGTGTATAAATCTTGTCTGCTTCTATCCTAGGGTGAGTTTTGATGAAGGGAGAACCTGGAGTAAATACAGCTTCACATCAACACCACTTTTTGTGGATGGATCCCTTGTGGACCCTGGCATAGAGACCCAGATAATGACGTAAGTACAACAGCTCTTACCTTTCTTTAAATGCTGTGGTGGAAAGGGCACGTGAAGATCCCCAAGCACATGGTGAGTCTCGTGGTGTGCAGTGCAGCATCATGGCATTCTTTGTCACGGTGGTGGATGTCTGTTGCTTTCCAACAACACATGCACAGACGTGTTGTTTGTGTTCACACACACAGAGCTCTGAGTTCATATAAATCTGCACATTGACACCTCCATGGAAATCAGTGAAGCTAATCAGTTTCAGTGAGCTATGGATTTAGCCCCTTTACTTGATAAATCAATGTGCTTTCTTTTTGAGTTAAAAGATGTATGTTAAATTTCAGATCATTATTACTTAGCTCAATAGTCTTCTGATGAAGAAAGTAGGAAGCAGGTTGCCTTCCTGAATGCCATGCATCAGCTTTGTTGAGAATTGACTTTTTTTTTGAATCTTTGCAGACATTGTATTAGTATTATTTATTTAATTTTATTATTGACATCGTTAGTAAGTAACTTTTGAAACTCTTCATACGTGTCTGTAAAAGCCATTTAAAAATGTTTCATATCATGTTTGTCATAAATGTTTAGAGAAATTCTTATCCACAGTGTAAAAGGAAATAAACAGGGAAAGATCTCGCAGAGGCTTGGACTTAGGAGAAATTAATGCCTTTCTAGTGCTATGGGTAATCCTGAGGCAGGATAATATTTGATGACTGGAGGTATGTGGAATTTGTGTTTGTGGGTAGAAAACCCAATGCTAATGGGAACTACAAGTGGGTGTGGGATCAGCATCCTCTAGCTGAGCAGAGCTCATTGGGAGCTCTGTGGGTAGAAGCAGGACTGAGGCAGAGGAACCAAGTCTATGCTCGTATTTAAGTACCATCAAAATGATGAAGCCAGTGTCTTTAAAGGAGTGTGCCCCTTGTTGTGGAGAAATATTCATCCTAGTGTTGTTGGCTGACTCCTGGTAGGGAAAATCTCTGCTGTTGATTTGTCTCCAAGTGGTCCGTGTTCAACTACTTCCGAAAAATATTGTCCTGAGGGAAAAGTGTATTAAATAGTCATTACAATGCAACTATTATTACCATATTGCATTATTAACAATATTATCATAATATGATTTTATTAAAGTCACTATATCAGTAGAATGACTATTATTCCCAGTCTTCATTTCATAGTGCTTTCTCAGAGTAGGCCTTCTGGAAGTAGTAGCAGTTTTAGCATATATTTTGATACTGCTTCATGTTATGTGAGCATTTGTAGTGTTTGCTTGTACTGTAGGAACATTCTGGGAGTTGGGCTAGGTATATGTGTCCCAAGACAGTCCTTAACAGCTTAATGGTTCGTATCGGTATGGTAAAATCTGTAGATTTGTATGTGGGTACATTATATAATTCTGAGTATCTTGGTCTAATTTAAATGTAGAGATACTTTTGTTAAGAAATTGGGCAAGATGGCTTGCAGAAGTCCATTCCAAAGTAGATTATTCCGTGATCCTCTGATTTTGTATGGCTATAGCAATTTGAGAATGATCTAATTTCCTTAAAAACATTGAGTGGGCTCTACTAAGGATGCGGTTTTGTGGCACACAAAGTAGTACCACCACGAGACAGTGTGAGCTGGTCTAATTTGGAATTGAGGAGAATCCAGTCCCCTTTCCTTCATTCGTGGCTGATCATCATCTTCTGCAGTTCCCTTTGCTGTTGTTTCTACACGCATCTTGTCTGACAAAGTGGCTGGTTCAGCCCCCTTAGTTTTGCAGAACTTCAGCAGATGTGTGCAAGAAGTAAAAGGTTTTTTTGCTTCCAGAAGTTTTTCACTGGAGTATGAAACACACATTTTGATGTTTTTCAGGAATGTTAGCAAAGTAGCGTTAGAAGCAAAGGGTCCCTTAGGAAAATAACTCAAACATGTAAGGATGTTAGGTTAAGCACGCTCTTTGGGGAACCAGTGCATGCCTAGAAAGCACAAGGCTTTGAGTGCAACAGTTTTCCAGCTTCTGTACTGCTGCCTTCGCTGGAGAACAATACCTCTTTTAATGGGGTTAGTTTCTTTAGGATTGGATGTAGCAATACAAGCATTTCTTTGTTTTCAGATCATAGGTACAGGGTGGTGCTTGCCTAAGGTGTCTACCTGGGAAAAGAAATTTAGTTGTGTTCCTATTCTAGTGGATTATGGTATACAAACAAAGGCAATGTTTCCTCCAGAGTTGCTAGTTTATACCACTGAAGCAGGAGAAAAGTTGCCTTGGCGGGTCTGGAGAAGGGCTCTATGTTGTTCCAACTCTGGCTCCTAATTATTGTCCCTGCCACTTCCTCTCCTCTGCTAAGCATCTCTCCAAACCTACATAAACAGAAATAACCTTTTTGCTTCACAGCCCTGCAGTGCTTTGCTGTCATTTTAGTTGTCTCATTATACATGAGTGTATGCAGATACTCGTATATAGATAAGGATCATTAAGTTTGTCTCTGCTGATGAATATATATTTATTTAGACACATCCACGTGTGTGTATATAAATATATATGTGTTTATATGTATGTATACTTAATGATGCATATATATCTGTTTATGCATCATTGGGTATTAACATTTTCAGTGAGAGGATTTAATACAAGCTGGTCTGCCAGCATTGCTGTTACTGCTGCCCTTGGCTATGTGTACGTGAGGAAATGTTCTGGCAGTAAATGAGCCCTGGCCCCTTCCAACACCTCCTTGTTTGCACAGCCCTGTGGCTTTACAAGGGGTTAAGTGGAAACCTTCTTCCAGCAGTCCCATAAAATTCCTTGCAGCCCATCACTGAATGGCAGAAAAACGGGGCAGAATGAAAGAGTAATTAAAAATGATGGAGGTCAGATGGAAGTCAGGAGAGTTTTGAGGTGCAAAAGGGAGCAAAGGGCCGTACTGAACCAGACCAAAGGTCCCTCTAGCTCAGTTCCCTGCTCCAACAGTGACAAGCAGAGGAATCTGAAAATCTTAAAAGCATATAATGTTGTTTCCCTTGTGTACTTTCCTTATGTACAGATGTTTGCAAATAAGGAACTTTCTTGTCTTTGTGTGTCTAAAATGTGCATGGATTTTTTTTTTTCTAAATGCTTTTAGACTACTCACAGCATTGTATGGTAAAGGGTTCTGTGAGTTAATTCTTATTCTGAGGTACCGAGTGCCGTGTAGAAGACATCAGTGAAGTTTGTATAGGTGCAAAGATAACCTGATTCTGGATAGCACTCCGCAGAGATGTAGCAGATTGTGTACAAGAGATGGGTAACAGCTATGAGGTCCAGGCTCCCACCGAGTTCAAAATGATGTGGGAGCCAAGAGTCATTTTCCTGTCGCTTTCTGATAAGGTGATTATCATCTTGCCTCCTTAAGCAAGGCAGCATGCACTGCATTCTGCTGCAGTTTTACTGTCACATTTAAAGCTGATACAGGAAAGAAAATTACAAGCTGACACAATGTCCTTGAAAGGTTCTGCTCTTTTATTTAGGGGTAGGGAGCTGTGCCTTTTGCCATCTCTGTGTGGTTGTCCTGAAGGAAGTGAAGTGAAAATAGAGATGTGATAGAAAACAGTGTCCTTCCTGGGATGTGGTAGAAGGAAATCGGAACCAGCCCTCAGCCTCCAACATCCTCCATGCCTGGCTAGCATAGCTGGTTAGCAGTCCCAGCAGCAAGAGAAGAAATGAGAGAGTGGCAGGGATGGAAATGCTGAGGGATGGTTCCGCCTAGAAGGAACTGAGGCCTTTTCCAACATTAACACAGAAACGTCACAGGCACAGTGTTACTGTATTCCTGAGGCAGAGCAGAGGCCTTCATTCTCTCCTGCCATCAGTCTGGTCCCTTTTAGCTGCACTCTGCTTGAGAAAGAAATAAAAAGAAGCTGTCAGAAAAAAAATTTGGATTTACTTCTGTAATTTCTGCTGCTGCTGAGCTGGACAGGATTTGATGAAGAGGAATCAGAAGGAAAAGGCACTTAAATGGAGATCTGTAAAGAGCTAAACACAACTCACACCTTCAGTTATTTACAAAACACCAGAAAGGATCATGTATTAGGGGCTGTTGTTTTGAAGGACTCCTTATTTATCTTCATTGCTTTTGGGAATCATGGCTTGAAAACTTGTTTTCAGCCTGTGCGTGCTCTCAGGCCTACCAAAATTCTGTGTTTTGGAGAGAAAGGAAGTGCAGATTTTAAGACCTGGTTTAGCCTAGTTGCCGAGTGACCTCTTGATACCTAGAAAGGGCTGGAAGATTTAGTTTGTTCACCTCATCATGTTTTTATCTTGCATTTGGGGCTTCCTGTCTTATTAATGATTATTGCAATATCTGTTTGTGGTGCAACTGGTTTTATTATTGGCTGTGGATTTTACTGAAAGACTCTGATGTGTCCTTGTGAGTTCATTGCACTGTCCTTGCTTATGGGGCTGTGCAAACTGCAGTGCGTAAACTTACATAAGAACTCTTCAGCATAGGATCCATGAAATTAAAATGACTCTGTAAAAATAATGACTGCACACAGAAAGAAGAGTAAAATTTAGAACTTAATCTGAGAACAAAAATTACCAATATAGTTATTAAATGAAACTAAAATGATTGAGAGGATATTGGCATTTGCCATAGTGAGCTGAACCCCTTGATCATTTGATCATTTCAAGTCATTTCTGGAAATAATGAAAGCTTTGCAAGAAAGTGATTGCTTTGTTAATGCTGACAATTGACTTCACAATGGGCAAGAAATGTGTGTTATAAGAATTTCTGTTTTATCCTAGTGGGTGATCAGTTTATACCCTGAAGAAAGACAATTGATTACCCATATAATTATCTTAATTTGCAAGACTTATAAATGTTATTAACAGTCACAGATTAATCAGCGTCTCCTCCTTCTCCCCAGAAGAGCACTCTATTTGTTAGCCTTTGGATTACTGCATGAATTCACCTCAACAGCCAGCAAAGGCACAATATTGATTGTGCTGTTGATACTTGCCACACAAGCTGAGGCCTTTCTCTGGCACTTGAATA